ATATTATTCATTGTTATTTCATTATTTTGTTGTGTTTTATTCATCACAATACTTTTTTATTAATTCAGATAAAATCATAATTGAATAAAAAATTGAAATAAAGAGAAAAATAAATAACAAATAATTTATAGTTATTAAAAGAAAATGAAATAAAAAAAGAACTATAAAATTAGATTCATAAAAAAGAATGGAAAGAAAAGGGAATTTTATGGTAGCTCCATACGTAGCGATATTTAGAGCGTTATATGAAGAGGTGAAAGAGAAAAGAAAAACAGAAGATCTTTCATTAAAATTAATCAAAGAAGCTACGCGAATAAAGAATTATAATGATGAAGAATTTAAAGAAGAAATAAAAAAGAAAGAAGAAGAATATTATGGGATGGTACTTGAAATAATGGAATTAAATAATGTAAAATTGAATTTGTTAGTATTAGAATTAATAGAACAATTTATTAAAGATGAATTAATAAGAGATGTTTGTTACTAAATGAATAAAACAATAATAATAAAAGAAATAATGGGATTTATTAATTAGATATGGTTTAGTTCAATAATTAAATCAATTTGTAAAATTCAAATGAAAGAAGAAATTCGATCAAAAATACTTTCAATTTTCAATACGATATTTGAATCAAATAAATATATTCATTCATTTTATAATGGAAGTTTAATGGATGTTTATGTATTATTATTTGAATTAGCAAATAAAAATAATGGAATTGGAATAAATGAAATAATATTTAAAACGACAATAAAGTTATTTAAAATAGCAAATAATGATTGTTTAAATCAAAAAGAAGAAAATGAAAAGAATAATAATTTAATAAATGATTTAAGTATATTATTAAATGAACTTTGTAATTTAATAATAGGAGATAAATCAACAATAATTAAAAATAATAAAATTCAAATACCAACAAATATTATTTGTACTATTGTATTATCAAATCATCAATTATTTGAAGTTTGTTATTCTTTTTTTTTGTTTAAAATGGTGGAGAATAAAAAATATTTATAAATTATAGAAACTTAATTTTAAAGAGTGTTTATCATCAGTTATAATCGAATTATGTATAAAATTATTAGATAATAATGAGTTTGATCAAAGTTTATATTCATTAATTACTGGATTATTTACTCAATATGAAATACCTACTTTTATGACATTGTTTTCAAAAGTTATTCAATGTATTTCTACTACTAAATCTAAAGAAATACAATTTGCATTACTTCAATGTATATTAAATGAATTTTTATGTTCTTTTGAAAAACATGATACTCGACAAATATTACCACCAGCAAATGAATTTTCTGAATTTGCAATAAAGAAATATCAAGAATATATAAATCAACAAATAGTAATACCATTTTCTTCGTTTAAACTTGTAAGTGAATTTATTACAAAAACACCTCAAACAGAATTAATAGAAGAAAGTAATTGTTGTATTATTACTAAAATAATTATTAGTATCGTCACCTTTTTGTTAGCAGATAAAGACTCTTTACTTATTTTAGACAATCAATTTAAAAATATTTTTAATGTTGTTGAAGAACAATTACGTTATTTTATTGAATTGCCTATTCCCATTCCATTATTTAAAGAATATTTAATATTTGTTTTTAATGTTGTTTCTTTATTACTTTCAAATAACCTTCATGAAGAATCAATACGTATTATAAACATGATTATTAATACTTCTGGTCTTATTCCTTATCAACAAAATATTAGTCAAGAATTTAATGAAAAACAGTTGACATGTGTAAATTGGTTAAAAGACTGTATTAAAGAATTTTCAAATTCCTTTCAAACCAAAGAATTTCTTATAATATTACCATTTTTATCATCATTAAATACAATTGCAAATATATGTCCATTAATTCAAACAAACGATGAAATAATAAATACACCAAATTATTATTTGAATGAAAGTGATTTAATGAATGATGAATTATATTGTATTTATATTAAAACATTAGTAGAATTATGTCAAACAATAATTGAAAATTATTATCAAGAATCATTTAAAATAGACAAATATTATTTTGATCAATTATTTAATTCTATTAAACTTCATCCAAAAAGATTTCTTTTAATAAAAGAATATATTAAATCATTATTTATTAATACTGCTCTTCACTCTGAAGAATTAATTAACTCATACTTTTTTGATTTAACTAATTCTATTCTGTCTCAACGTTCATCAAATGTATTTCAAAAAGATTATATTCTCTTTTTATTTGATGTTTCAATTCCAATAATTAAATCAACTAATGTTAAAGCTAAAAGATCTTTGATTGATAGTTATACCACTTTTATTGAAAATATAATAATAACACTAAATGATTCTATTGATCAATTATTTAAAGAATTATCATTCTGTTCAAATTATGATATTGTTAGTCAATCATTTAATGTTTTGAAAGAAATTTGTAAACCAAATATTTTAAGACAATTTTCATTTAAACAAATGAATTATGTATTGGAAACTTTAAAATCTTTTTTAAATCAAAATAACGATTTAAATATCGCTTTATCAACAATTGAATTACAATGGAGTTTATTAGAACTTATTAGTCAAACACCAGAACTTAATTTTAAACAAGAAATTAAAGAATCATTAATGATGATTCTTTTTAATGAATTATTAAATGAAATAGATGATGAACGGTATGACATTTGGTTTTCAGCAGCACAAACATTATTAAGAGCAATAAAGGATCAAGGAGTTTGTTTAAAAGAAGAAGGATGGAAAAAATTAATAACAGAAGTATTTTATTCAGCATTTCAAAAATTAAAAGTTATTGTATATCCACGAATACTTAATACTACAGACATTCCATTAAGAGATGATATTAAAAAAAGTCATATTATTTCTCGAGTATTAACTGAAATAAGAAGATGGAATGATTCGATAATTGCTGACCTTTCATGTGTTATGAGATCGTTAAAAATAATATTTGAAAAGTTTAGTGATGAAGAAACAAAGAAACAAGTATTTAGATATATTCTTGGATTTACTGATTTTGCTTTCTTTCAACCAACAGTATTTGGTATTGAAGTTGGTATTAAATATGTATTTAAATTACTTCCTATTGTTTATGATTCTTCAATATTTAAAGAAGTAGATGAAAGTTTAGCAGATGATACATTAGATGTAATTGAAATGATAAATGACTTTTTAATATTTAATGATGGAGTGTTTAGTGGAGTAGCAATATTATATTTAAATATGTTATGTGATTCTTATAGTATTTGTGGAATTAAATTAAAATACAGAATAATTGAAATGATAAAGAAATTTATTTGTTTATTCCCAAATGATTTCTTTGTTTCAGAGAATAGTGGAACATTGATTCAAGAACGTTATATAAAAGCATTAAATTCATTTATTATTGATAAAGATTTTGAAAATATTAAAGATAAATTTGAAACCACAGTTCTTTGGTGTTTAGATACTATTCTTGATATTGAAAAAATAAACGAAAGAGCTAAAACGTCTAAGTGGTGGGGAATTAATGAATTAATTAAAATATTAATGAATTTTACTCTTGATGAACAAATAATACAAAGAATTATTCGATCACATGAAACAATTATTTCTTTTTTTATTGAACCAAATAATCAATTACAAAGAAGTGAATCTCAAGAAAAAGTATTTCTTAATAAATCTTTACACTATAAATTAGAAGTACATCAATTATTATTTGATATTCTTTCTCAAAAATTAAAAACTATTGATTCTATTAATGAAATAAATGTTAAAATAATAGAAATTACTAATATAATCAAATACAAAGAAGTTAATGAACAATTCTTAATTGAAAATGATACTCAAATATTTACTCCTCTTGTCAATTTTCTTCAAATTATAAAAACAAAATCAATAGAAAAATCACAAATTGATGTATTTAATTATTTTATTGATTATGGAATTAAACCATCTTTACAATTTAAAACATACGGTCAAACTCTTTCTCAAGAATGTCATTCAATATTAATTAATTGTTATCTTACATTCAATGATATTTCTAAAAAATCAAAATGTGCTGATGTTTATGTTACACATATGAACCTTATTACTAATAATTATTTATTGAATGTAGAAGGATATAGAGAACAATGGTGTGTTTTAGAGTTACTTTATTCTATTAAACAAATATTTCCTCAAATAATATCAAACAAACCCTCATTAGGAAATGGATTAACAATACAATGGATATACTCTCTTTTAATTAAATTAATCTCATCACCTCATCAACCAATACGAGAGTTAATTCAACCACAATTAACTTCCATTGGAGATTTATATTTTCATTAATTTATTTCGTTGAATTTTATTGATTTTGTTTATAAAAAATATACCACTAAAAATTAATTAAAAAAAATGAATAAATTCAAACAAAAGTGTTAAAATAAATACTTTTTGTTCCTGTCCATATATTTTTAACTGAAATATATTTAACATCACTAAAGAATTTCCTCCCATCAATAAAAACACTAAACAATGAATCTTCACAATTGATCATCATTTTTGTACATGTTGAAACATTTGCTGAAGACTCTTCTTTTTCTTCTTTTTTTAAGGGTGAGTCTTCTTTTTTTTCCACTTTCTTTTTTTCTTTTTTCTTCTCATCCTCATCTCCACAATAAGTTTTAATAATTTGTTCACAACTTAACAATTTTCTATCATTCTTTCGAATTACACTTAATAATACCCCTTTAGTATCTCCATATTTTTCAATAGCACCTGTAGTTTCAATACCATCTAATCGAATAATATCTAATGCACTTAATGGTTTTTTAATTTTTGTAACATGTTGTTTATCTTTCTTTTGTTTACAAATATCAATAGCAATAACAGGAGGTTTTGATTCAGTTATAGTTGGAGTGAGACAAATACTCTTTAAAAATGGAACAATCACAGTTTCATTTTCTGTAGTTAATTGTATTTCTCCTAATTGAATATATTTTTTATTTTGAGAATTTTGAATAACTTCATTAACTTTTTCAAATATTACTTTACAAATTTGTTGTTGAATATTTTGAGTTGTATTAAACAAACCATTCCATTCTTCTGAAAAGAATAATTCTCTGTATTTTTTACTTCCATCTAAGACTGTCATTAATTCACAAGTTTTTCCAACTGGAATATAATAGAATTTAAACATTCCTTCTCCTCCTTTTAATTTTTTTGAAGTAATTTCAATAAAAATTCGAACAAAAAGACTTACAAATCCATCAGACCCACAAATACCAATTTTAATTGCCTTTTCTTTAGTTCCAGCTTTCATCACTAATAATGCAATAAACTTTTTCATTTCTTCAGAATCACTTATAAAAATAAAATGATACCTTTTTTCAATAACTTCTTCAACATTCTCTCCCATTGCTTCATAAAATCTTAAAGACCTTCGTTTCTTTGGATCAATAAGTAACACAATAGGTTCTTCTTCTTTTTCCATCATTCCCATTGTTTTTTCCATTGAGTATAATGGTTTGATAAAATCTTCAGTATCTGTAGAATCATCATTATCATTAGTAATAACTTTAACATTAGTAATAGTTTTTCTAACCATTTTTCCTTTTTGTGACCCACTTGTTTTCATTTGTTTTTTAACAGAGTCTCGAGCAACAAATTCTAAATTTTCTTTAGATGTTCTTTTTTCAGGTATATCACCTAATTTTAATTGGATTTTCTGACTTAAATTTTTTGATACACGACGACTTTCTGGTGGTGTTGGCGCAATAGGAACAGAATTAGATTCTTCTGAGTCAGACCCTTCTTCTTGAATATTTTCTGCTGCATCAAAAAATAAATCAAGTGTCTCTAATGTATTATCTGTACCACTAACTGTTTGTGTTTTACATAACTCAATAAAACGAGGTAAGTCTTGAAGGTGATTAAATTCTAAAGGAATAGAGTCAATAGTACATGTGATTGTATATAAATCTTTATTAAAATTTTTCTTTTCATTTGCTCCTTTCATATCTAAATCTCCAGTAAATCCTGAATAAAAGATTTCGTTCAAAGATAAAGAACAAGAAGCATATACCAAATTTGGTTTTTTGTATTTATGTAATCTGATATTTATTTTATTATTTATTTCCTAATAATCAATTTCTGTTTTCATATTTTTTTAGGTATTATTTATCAACAAACCCGAAAATAATGAAGATATGAAAAGATAATATTGAGATTGATCACTAAAGATGATGTGTCTGGTGTCATAATCAATGGAGCACTTGTTTTAATTGAAGATTTTGTTTTATTCATACAAACTGAAATCAAAAACGACTTTGGAGTCTTTAATGGTATTTTTGCTGCTTTTTTATTCAGTATTTTTTTTTTAATGACATAATAATTAAAAAATCTTTACAAACTTATTTTTGATAAATGAATGTGACACACTCTTGGGATTGCATTTCTTTCTTTGCTTGTCAAATCTCCTAACTGACCTTCCAAGGTGACAAGACGAGACATGATTAACTGTTCATCTTGAAATTCCTATGGTAGTTTACTATTATTTTCAAATACCCAAAAATTTTGAAATGATTGGTTTTTCTATTCCAATAATAGAATAGAAAAATCAAAATAAAAAAGTATTTTGTTATTACATAACACAATTATAACAATTTTAAGAAAAAAAAAAACTTAAAAATTGGGAGTATTAGACATAATACAATGGAAGTTAATGCCATTGGACCATATGATGAATTTGGTTTTTTAGAAAGAATAGGACAAGGTTCTTTTGGTCAAGTATATAAAGCGTTTCATCAAAATACAAGAACAATTGTCGCTATAAAACGATTACCGAAAGATGCAGATTTTCAAGATATTAGAAGAGAAATTGATACACTCAAAGTCCTTCGATCACCCTACATTATTCGATATTATACAAGTGTATTAAGACAAGAAGAGTTTTGGGTTTGCTTTTGTCATAATCAAATAAATTAAATAATTATAAATAGATTGTTATGGAATATTGTTGTTACGGGTCTGTTGCTGACATGATGGATATTCTTGGAGAAGAATTAAAAGAAGATGTTATTGCACAAATTTGTCATGATGCTCTTCAAGGATTAAAATATCTTCATGAATTACATAAAATACATAGAGACATTAAACCAGCTAATTTCTTAATAACAAAAGATGGGGATGTTAAACTAGGGGATTTTGGTATTGCAACAACATTAAATGATAAAACAAGACACCATAAAACATTAATTGGAACTCCTCATTTTTTAGCACCAGAAATAGTTGATGAAACGGGTTATAATGAAAAAGTAGATATTTGGGCATTAGGAATTTCTATCATTGAAATGGCTGAGACATATCCTCCTTATTATGACATGCCCCCTATGAGAGTATTAATGCTCATCGCTCAAAACCCCCCTCCTAAATTAAAAAATGAAAGTGAACATAGTTATAATCTTCAAGAATTTTTAAGTAATTGTTTGGTTAAAACTCCACAAGTAAGACCATCTGCATATACATTACTTAAACATGATTTTATTTCTATGAGAAATAAACAAAATTTAATGACTTTATTAGATCATCTAAGTGAAAAGATTCAAGAAAATGGTGGGATTGAAAAGACACTTGAACTTGTCAAAAAACAGGCTAAAGATCCAACATTCGCTGATCCTAGTGTAGGTAAAAGAAGTAATGAAGAACAACAAGAAAATGGAATAGGAGGTTTAGAAAATATGATCGATTCGATTTTTCCTGATTATGACGTTCATGAAATTAGTACGTTAGATTTTTCTAATCATCCTTCAAATCATGCAACAGAAGAATTTGATGTTCAAAATATTTACCCAAATGTTATTGGTACTGATGAAAATAGTCCTATTGCTAAATCTGATAACACACAAAAAGATTTTTCAATGAGATATTCTCCTGTCCCGCTTTCTATAAACCATAGTTATTTTGATGGGTCTAATGAAACAATTGATAAAACCCAAAAAGGTGATAGTTTGTTCAATACAACAAGTCCTTTACATAAAGAGGAAGATGGTCATGATCGTTCACCAATAACTCCCATTTATATTGAGAGCTATAGTATTAATCAACCATTTGTTCCATTGATAGTAGATCCACAAAGAGAAAATGGTAAAGCAATTGAAATAAAATCAAATGCAGACATATCACATGAACTAATAGAAAATGCAGATAATGAAATATTTCGGTTGAATGGAGAGTGGAGAGGTGTTACTGCTGGTGGTTGTCATGTTTTCCCCAGTTGGAGAAATAATATACAAATTAGTATTCATGTGTTATATAAAACTACTATTAGAATTAGTTTAGAACAAATAGCAGAAGAAGGAAATTTAACTCATATTGCTTTATATGTATTTACAGCAAATGAAATTGAAGACAAACAAAGAATGTTAGATATAGTTGACGATTGTGTTATTGGAGAAGGAACTACATTTTCTTTAAAAAGAAAGATAGAACAAACAATAGATTTTGATAAAGGGTGGTACATTATTTTTGGATGTACATATCAACCAGCAATTGAAAGAAGGTATTTAATGGATATCGAATATCCAGATGGCTCTGCTCAAGTAAAAATATTAAACGAGTCAGAAACTGATTGGAAATTATATCAAATCAATAGTGAATGGAATAATAAAAATAATGGTGGTAGAATAAAAAGAAATTCATATCAATGGTGTGACAATCCTAAATTTATTATTTCATCTACCCATCCAACTTCATTATTTATTTTGTTAGTTGCATTAGGCATTGACGAAGACACTGATATTGGATTTGCTTTATTTAAAACAAAAGATGATGAAACTCCATTAGCTGTACTTACTCCTGGTAATATCAAAGAAGAATCAGAAGAAAATGACACTACATCATCTGCATTAGTAGACAATGTAAGTGGAACTTATATATTAATACCTTATATAAGAGGAAATCAATCTCGTACAAGTTTTAAGTTAATGATTTATTCAATGTCAGATATCTCTATGAGTCAACATATACCAACTAAAACATCTTGGATATCTGGTGAATGGAATGAACTTACAGCAGGTGGGTGTTTTAATTCTGGTAATTGGAGAAAAAACCAACAATTTGTTCTTAGAGTTAAAGAAAATACCAGAGTCATTGCTGAATTAGTTTATGACAAAGGAAGTCCTGAAGATAAAATGAGTATGGGAATGACTATGATAAAAACTGATTCTAACACAAAAATTTTTGGATTTGAATATCAACAGGTTGTCTTTAGTACCAACTTCACCAACGCATCGTACATGAGTAAGGCTGTTGAGTTAGTCCCAGGACAATACGTTATTATTCCAATGACAATTTTACCAAACCTCTTTGGTAAGTTTACAATTGTAATTCATGAATTACTTCGATCTACATTTGAAAATCCATCTGTTGAATTATCTGAAATAAACGAGGGGTTTAGTTGTTTCTTATCAGGAAAAAATGGTAATTTAAAACAAACTCATTTATTTGCTATGGATAAAGGAGTATTATCATTATTCTTAACTCCTATGATAAATGTTACGAATAATTCTCAAAAAAAAGTCACAGTCATTGATCAAAATAATGATAGAATACTTGCGACTTGTGATGAAAATGACTCAGATAGTTTGTTAATTTTATTTTCATTTTTAAATAATATTGATTACTTATTAAACTAGTTCAAACAAAAGTTATTCTTGAATCTCAAACTAATGTCCTTATTAGCATTCAATCAACCGAACCATCTCAATTAGAGCAATTCTCTCTATTACTATTCTCTACTGGAGAGATTCACCAAATCGCTTAAATTGATTTTTGTTCTTGTTTGAAATTTTTTATTCTATTACTAAAATATAAAATTTAAAGTTTTTAAGACAACAATTCAGTTAAATGCCAAGGAATGAAAGATCAACGGCTGGTTTATTTGTTTGTTGTGGTTGAGCTGGAGCAGCTTGTGGTTGAACACCAGGAGTAGCAAAGAGAGCTGGTTGCTGTTGAACTGGTTGGGTTGGTTGTCCGTAAAGAGTAGCATAAATATTTTGTTGTTGTTGGACTGGTTGAGCAGGAGTAGACTGAGCTGGTGCAGTTGTGTTCAAATTATCAAACAAAGACATTACACTTTGTTGTTGAGGGGCTTGTTGAGCTGGGGCAGCAGTTGGTTGGGCTGGAGTAGTAACATCACCAAAATCAAGTAATGATTTTGTATTAGCAGGTTGAGTATTGATTTGAATGTCATCTTCCTCGTCAGAAGAGAATTCTTCACCTAAAGTCTCAAGATTCTTGAAATTAAATCCACCAGCTTGTGCTTTCAATGAAGAAACGAAAACCTCTGGTGGTTTATGTAATAATGAAGCCAAAGAACCAATGTGTGGAATTAATTTAACTAAAACAGCTTGGTCAAGTTCTTCAGAGTCATCTTTAATAACTGGTTTTTCAGAACAAACCATTTCTTTAGCAAGTTCTGGGTCATGAGCAAGAAGTCTCCAATAAAATAGACCTCTATCTCTAAGATCAGGATTATCACTTTCAGTGCACATAGTAAACAAATTTTGAAGAACATCTTGATCCTCTAAAGAAGCTTTTAAGAATGATTTAACTGTTGCTGTGAGTAATTGTAATTGGACATTAATATCTTCTTCTTGGAAAGTTTCTAAGAACATTTGTAATAAATCGGCTACATTAGTAATTCTATCTGAATATTCTCCAATAATCCAAATCATAGCAGCTTTAGCTTCTGGTTCATCAAGGGAGTCTAAATTCTCGCAAAGAGTTCCAATAACTTTTTCATATCTATTTGGATATCTTCTAAAGATATCTCTAATAACAACAATTGCTTCTTGTACAATATAATTAACTTTTGTATTAATTAAATCCACTAAAGTGGTAATGCATTGATTAGCAACGTTTTCTAATTTAATAGCACATCTTCCTAATGCTCTAACAGCTTTTCTAACAAATTCAACATCACCCATTTGAGAATAGTCAACAAATTCAGAAAGAATTTCTTTAATATTGTCTTTATTAGCTAAAGCAACAATAATTTCAAGTTTTTCAATTTTAATATATAAAGGATCATTATATTTACAATAAAATATTTTTACATCATTTACTAATAAATCTTTACATTTTTGAAGAATTAATCGAATGTTTCTTAATGCAACATATTGAATTTCATATGCTTTAGATGCAGACATAAGTGTTCCTAATGGTGGTGCAATCTTTTTCAAATAAAGTGATGCATTTTGTTCACTTAAATGAGGAAGTAATACAAGAATAAGTTTAACAGCAGCTAATACTACAGCACTATTAGCAGCTTTTAATCTTGGAGCAACTTGTTCACAAATACTTTCAGCAATTTGGACATTTTCTGGAACATATTTAGAAATAGTATCTAATATAATAACTTGTCCCCATTCATTTGCGCATTTATTTAATGCTGTAAGAAGAATGTTATAATTTTCTGAAGTAACTTCAAAGACGTCATGCTTTTCCGATATACTATTAATTTCATTAAGAGCAGCAAGTGCATTAGCAACTACAACATGGTTACTATCAAATATTAACTCTTTTAATGTATTAACAAATCCTTGTCTAACACACTCCTCTTGATTTAAGAAATATAACTTTGCAACACACATAGCTGCGGTTTTTCTAACGTATGGATCTTGATCTTTCAATGCTTTTTGTAATGGGTTGTATAATTCCTGTGTAACTTTAGGTACTCTAATAGCTCCCATTGTTCTGATAGCTAATGCTCGTATAATTGGGTTAGGATCATTTGAATCTCTCAAAAAAGCTTGAACTGCTCTTGTAGCATTATCTTGTTGTGTTTTAGCATAATTCATAATATATAAATAAGCTAATTTCTTAGCATCAATATTTGGTGTTGCAACGCATTGAAGAACTTCACCAAATAATATTCCAACATCTTTCCCTTCTGTCATTTGAGAAATAACTATTTTTAACCCTTCAATTCTTTCACTTTCCTTTTTGTTAGTTAACATTTCTCTTAAATCTTGAGTATCTGCAACTCTAGCTTTCATATTTCCTTTCTTTGACATCTTATCTTCTTTTGTTCATTTTTTAGTTCATAGTTCTTCTTTTTGGGTGGAGAATTTTCTTTTTCTTTTTAAAAGTAAATTATTATTTTTAAGTATTACAATTATGTTTTATATCCCATTTATTCATAATTTTGTTTTTTCATTATTCAATTTTAGAAAAAAAATAAATGAAAGTGTTATTATTATTTTTAAGATAATCTCTTTATATTACATTTATTTACTTAATTTGTTGAATGTTATTATTCTGTTAATAACCTTTTTGCAATACATTTCATAGAATCAACAAAAAGTATTTGTCTGAGTTAAACAAACAGAAAATGCTACTACTTAAAATAATTATTTTATTAATTTTTATTAAAAACAAAAATAACCTTACAATAATAATGTATGTCGTTGTTTGTTTTGCTTGATACTTCTTTAATTCTTTGATTATTTTTGGTTATTTGTTTATTGAAAACTTTTTTATAAAATATTTATTTGACTTTGACTACGTTTAAAAACCTACCATATTTTGATATGAACTTGGTCTGATGTACCTGTCCTTTGAATACAAAATCAGCAATACTATTGAAACCATTCTCTCATGTCATAGTCTCTTTTACGAATTGACATCCATCCTCTTTTTCCAAGTTGTTAATAATTGTCTTTATTTAACTCTAAAATAATTCAATTTTGGATTAATAATAATACTCTTTTTATCTTTACTTTCCTTATATCATTTAATTGGAAGTTCGCTCACAGAATTATTTAATTATTTACTTTCAAAAACACCTATTTTCAACATTTGTTTAGGTGAGTAACATGGTTTAAAGTTATTATCAAAGTTCTTTGAATAAGACTCAGATAATTTATAAAGATATTCTTGCATTTTATCTTTAACAATAATAGTCTTTCCTAGACAATATATCATTCTCATAATAAGGAATTATTGATTCTTAAAAAAACATGATTAAGATTATGAGATATTTCATAATCAAATTTTATCATTATAAAAAACCG